TAGAGCCTTCCTACCCTGCAGCAGATCAATACTCCAGCCCAACTTGGTCTCATCTGCAAACTGACAGGGTGCACTCGATCCCTTTGTCCAGATCCTTGATAAAGATATTAAAGAGAACTGGCCCCAATACTGAGCCCCGGGGAACACTGCTTGTGACCGGCTGCCAACTGGATTTAACTCCATTCACCAGCCAGTTTTTTACCCTGTGAAGACTATACCTGTTCAAGCCATAAGCAGCCAGTTTCTCCAGGAGAATGCTGTGGGGAATGGTGTCAAAGGCTTTACTAAAGTCTAGGCAGGCAATGTCTGCAGCCTTTCCCTCATCCACTAAGCGAGTCACCTTATCATAAAAGGAGATCAGGTTAGTCAAGCATGACCTGTCTTTCGTAAACCCATGTCGACTGGGCCTGATCACCTGCTTGTCCTGTATGTGCCATGTGACGACACTCGGGATGATCTGCACCATAACCTTCCCCAGCACCGAGGTGAGGTTGACAGGCCTGTAGTTCCCCAGATCCTCCACCCAGCCCTTCTTGTCAATTGGAGTCACGTTTGCTAGCCTCCAGTCAACTGGGACCTCCCCAGTTAGCCAGGACTGCAGATAAATGATGGAAGGTGGCTGGGCAAGCTTCTGCTAGCTCCCTCAGTCCCCTTGGGTGGATCCCATCCAGCCCCACAGACTTGTGTGTGTCTATGTGATGTAGCAGGTCACTGACCGTTTCCCCTTGGATTATGGGGGCTTCATTCTGCTCCCCATTCCTGTCTCCCAGCTCAGGGGGTGGTGTACCCGTAGAACTGCTCTTGCTACTAAAGACTGAGGCAAAGAAGGTATTAAGTACCTCAGCCTTTATGTACGAAGTTCAGGATTATCTAATTTAATTGCTTCTCCTCCATCTTTCTGATCAGAAATGTGAAAAACTAATGTCAGAATATATCTTAGCTCTTGCTTTTCAGAGTTGGAGGCAGTGTCCAAAGGTGTGTGAGTCTTATTTGTGAAGTGAGAAAAGGTATAAAATGAAAAGCTATACGGTAATAAAAGAAAAGAGAGTACAGGCATTATGGAAACAGAAGGGAGAGGTGAATAGTAAGTGTAAGGATAGGTTTTTCAAAAAGGCAACTGCATGATAATATTGCAAAGAAAGTTATGCGTAGAGGAATTTCTTGTAATGTGATTGGAGGGAAGAGAATGTGACGAAAGGACATCGTGTGACAGGACCCTGGAAATACCACAGTGGTTAGCAGTGGATAGAATTTTTGTGGTGTGAATACCTGTATTCCTATTTTGGTATATGTTCATTTGTCTTTCTATCTGTAAAGTTTATCTTGTGAAGCATGAGGTATACTTAGAAGTGGGAGCTAATATTTAAAATACTGTACTGTATTAAAGGATTAGAATTTGGCTTGCATATGTGAATTTATTTTTGGATTGTGTACCTCACGATCGTATTTAAATAGTAAACAATCCTAGTAGGTCTTTGTTTGTGACACAGCTGCTGTAGCATAGTATCTTTTCACTAGTGAAAATGAAACATAAACACTCTCCTTTAATTGTCACTGGTGTTCTTCCAGGAAACAAGGTTCTGAACTAGGATAATTTTAAAAGTGAATTTCTACATTTCATTAATTTGATACTTATTTCATTACAGGCCAGATCCTCCAAGTAGTTAGAACTGCAAATGGAGCTCAGTATATCATTCAGCCACAGCAGCCAGTTGTTTTACAGCAGCAGGTCATACCGCAAATGCAGCCTGGTGGAGTACAAGCACCTGTTATACAGCAGGTAAAGAAAAAGATTTTAATATGTACACTTGAAAGGAAAAACACTATAGTAATTACTAGAGAGGCTTGCATTTTTGTGACCAAATTGAAACAGAATGCAAAGTCAGAAATGGTATATTTAAAAAAAAAAAAATTGCATAAAGTGTGTTTTTTAAAAATCAACGATTTTGAAATGTTGTTTCCAATGTCACTTCTGTTCTTGCCAAATTCTAACTGGCTACAGTTTACAGTATCTTTTGTGCATCTCCTGATGACAGTTAAGTGCATAATCCTAGCCTACATCCTTTTAAAAATGTGTTTATTCATTAAAATGATTCTATGTCACATAACATATGGAAGAAAATACCTAAAACACACACGCACATTTAGTATTTTTAGTAGTGAATATAGGTTATTTTAGTAGTGAATACAGCATGTTTTATGAGGATTTTTGTTCAGCTACAAGGTCAAGTGTGTGTCCAGACTGTGTAATTTAGCATTGTGTCACAGTTTTGCAGTTTAAGGATGAGTAACAATTTATAGAGAGTTTAAAGTTAAATATTTTATAGAGAAGGTTTAAAAATAATCTTTTACTTGAATTTAAACATTCCTCTGCTCTGCTTGGAACTCAGGTGTGGCGGTAGTGCTAGCATTTTTAGAATGGAAAGACAGTAGGTTTTCTTAGATTTAGCAATGCAAAATGCAGAAAACTAACATGGAGTAGTGAAAGAAGGTATGTTATTGACGATTAAATTATGTATCTGATATAGGTGGAATATTTGTAGCTCTTGTTTCTCTAATTAGTGCAAGTCAGATTGATACGCTTTAATTGTTTTCTGTAAGTGATGTGGTAGTCTGTTATTTTAGCAGCCACAGAACTTGCAATGATATTCCATCAGGTTTTGGCACCTATCCCTGGAGGAATTCCCCAGCAGACAGGAGTGATTATTCAGCCTCAGCAGATCCTGTTTACAGGAAATAAAACACAAGTCATACCTACAACAGTGGCTGCCCCTACACCAGCTCAAGCACAGATTCCTGCAGCTGGTCAGCAGCAACCACAGCAACAACAGGCACAACCACAAGCACCACTTGTTCTCCAAGTTGATGGAGCAGGGGACACATCGTCTGAAGAAGAAGAAGATGAGGAAGAAGACTATGATGATGATGAAGAGGAAGACAAAGAAAAAGATGGGGGTGAAGATGGCCAAGTTGAAGAGGTAAACGTAACATTATTTTAGAAGACTGGAGCATGCTTGTGTGTCTTTTTTTTTTTTTTTTTTTCAATATTTAAAAGAAAACTATATGCCTCAAATAATATTGTATTCCAATGATTTTGAGAATAGAACTTTTATCCTTCTACTTCAAGTTCTTTATTTCTCATATTGAAGTTGTGTGTATGTTAGCAAAGCACATTGAGATGCAGCTGGGGAAGGTGGGGGACACAGCAAAAACTGTTAATTGTTGTGAATGCCCTTTTAAAAACTTCAGCAGTAATATTTCTGATGTTATGGAGAGGTCAGCCATGAAATTATGAAACCTTCATAAGCAAACAAATAGTCAACTCCACTTGGGACTGAGTGCATAGAAAAGCAAGGTGTTAAGAAGATTGACAAAAAGGAGAGCATATATTTAGTTCACTGAGGGGACCAAGAGATGTGGTCTGACCTGTATCTCACTGACTGTTCCATTGCTTTCTGTTACACTAGAACAAGCCTGAGAACTCAAATTTGATTATAAAGCACCTTCTAGAAACACATCTGACCTTGATTTAATGAAATCAGGAGATAGGAGCAGGAGTGAATATTCTTTGTAACTTCTTGCGTTCTTAACAATATTTTAGATATTAACAATATCTAATATCTAACAATAATTTAGACTTTGAATTTGCTTGATTTTAGACTTGAGCCAGTGGTTCTTACTAAGTTTTGGGGTGTTGCACCAAAAACCCCCGTAAGATTACGAAATCTTAGGACAAGGGGAAACGGTCTCAAGTTGCGCCAGAGGAGGTTCAGGTTGGATATTAGGAAGAACTTCTTCACTGCAAGAGTCGTTAGGCATTGGAACAGGCTCCCCAGGGATGTGGTGGACTCACCATCCTTGGAGGTGTTCAAAAAACGTTTAGATGTGGCACTTCAAGACGTGGTTTAGTGGGCATGGTGGCATTGGGTATATGGTTGGACTTGATGATCTTTGAGGTCCCTTCCAACCATCATGATTCTATGATTCTATGAAATTAAAAAAAAAAAAGGGAGGGGGAAGGGTACTAATAAGGTCACAGTACTGTTATTTCAGTCCCTGACAGGAAACTTGGTACTCCCTAAATCTATCCCTAAAATGCGTTTTGAACTGTCAGATCACTTCCACAGTTCTCTGCAGCTTTTGAATTAAGATTCCATTTAAAATGTCAATATGAGGACCATGTGTAGCATTTCACCATCTGTATCACCCATGCAGTATATGCAGGTAAAACTTCTAATTTTTATCAAGGAGTTAAATCAGGTTTTCTGTAGTACATCTACAGTGGTGTCTAACAGTATTTTTCTGTTACAACTTACAGGTTGGGTTCACATCACTTTTCCATTATGTTGATCAGCATTGGTGTCAGTTTGACTGCTTTAATAGTTACCTTATTAATTATAGGTCATCATGCTTAAATATTAAGTGTTCTTCAGTAGTGCCTTAATGCTAGCTTTCTTGTAGAAATTTTTTTACATGCCAAGACTTTATTATCAGCATGCTAGAGATCTTCTGTTATTTTTACTGCTTGTGTTAATACGTAGTTAATTAATGAGTGGACCAGTTCCTTAAAGCTTTTGAAATCAGTTTATATATAGCATTACTTTGGAAGGAATTAGGACCTCTAGTGCACCTTTTTCTTCTCTCACTAGCATCTCCCCCATTTAGCTTATATATTTGGGAGTAGGTGGGAAGATGAGGATCATACAGAAGACTTCAGAAAAGTTGTTCTGCTTTTATTAGAGGTTGTTTTAGCTTTTGAAATGTTTGTTACTTACATGAGATTAAAAAAAACAAAACAAATTTCTGCTGGAATAGAGTGTTAGCAGAAAGAGGGAAAAATGAAAGTAATTTTAAGGGACATAAAAATACATTCTAGAAGGTCTGGAGAAGTTATTTTGTATGTATCTGTGCAAGATCATCTTAAAGCATCTTTCTTTCCCTTTCTGTAAAAAATTTCTGCGTGTGTTCCGGTCTGTTTGTGATACATCAAACATGAATAAGTCAGGGAGTTTCTATTTTTAATGGCACATAGGGAGTGATCTGACTAATGTTGCCTTTCCACTGCTTAGATGCTTTAGAAAAATTAAAATCTGCATAATGATAAATTCTTTGTAAAGTCAAATTGCAAGCACCGGAACGTTTACAGTAAAGGAGCAAGAATAGTTGTGGTGACAGAAGGCTGCAGTGCCCAGAATCTGGCCTGGACAGAATTTCCAGACTAAAATTGGTAAGGGACATCTCAGCATGGAGGGCAGGCAGGAAGTATATGTACATCCGCCCTCTGCTGGAAAGCCTAATATTCCCCACCTCAAATGTGTTTTAGGTCCTGTAGTTCATAGACAAGACTGTAGCCTCATGTGAGTAATCAAAGTAACAGCTGTGATCTTACTAAACAGCATAAATTTTTGCCTGTTTTTTTTCAGGAGCCTCTTAACAGTGAAGATGATGTGAGTGATGAAGAAGGACAAGAACTGTTTGATACGGAAAATGTTGTTGTGTGCCAGTATGATAAGGTAATCTCCTCAGAACAGAATCAAAGAATTCTACTGTCTCTGTTGTTCTTCCTATCAAGTCATAATTTTTAAGTAGTATCTATTAAGCACTGTTAAGTGCAGGTAGATCTATAAAGATTATAATGTGAAGGTAATATAAGAATTAGCTATTGTTTGTTTTTAAAACAGGTTTGTGTGATATGTTTCTACTAAACTTGATAATGAGTAAAGCTTAGAAAAATTTGGCTGCATTTTCTTCATCGTGTCTTTTTGTGACCTTTAACAAAAGGCCAGTCCTCTGGGCTCAGGAGAAGTGAACTATTGTAAGTAAGTTTGTACATTTGCTGTGGCCACGAATGGAAGAAGGCTCATGATGTAGACTTGTGGAAAACTGTTCCTTCGTCACTAAAAATATCTCTTCTTGATGATAGTTCTTTCTGTGCTATGCATTCTTTACTGAAATGGCAATGTGGAATTTGCTTATTTTGTTTTAAATTTGCTTTAAATTCTGCTGAACAGTCTTGATTCCTCTGTAATGACCAATTTCTTCTTGCATATTTGCCCTGGAATATGGAAGGATTCATCCATGTCTGGAATTGTTTAAAATGTATCTAGAGGATATCAGACACCTGCTTACTGAGGTAGTGTGCAGAAAGTTTATTCAATGTGGATTTCCTTTCTTTTCCTATGCTAGATTATTTGGACTACAAGGAATAAGGATCCTTTTGAAAGCAGGAAAAAAGCTGTAAGCTTGTTGAATAAAAACTCCTACATTGCAAAGAATGGCTTGGTTAGAAAATCTTCAGTTATGCCCAGACTCTGCCTAGCCTTGTCCTCAGATTCAACAGAGAATTTAAAATAGAGGAAAGTGGTTATCAGTATCCCAACCATCTGTCTGCTCCAGACTGTAATCCAAAACTGTTAGTTTCGAGGCAGTTCCTGAGGATAGTGAGGGACCTCAGAATAGCACTCAGAAAAGCTTGTTGGGAGCTGCTAAAGTTGAGCAACAGGAACTACTCTGAAATCCTCACCCATTTAAAAGTTAAGAATGTGAACTCAGTAGGGAACAGTGTCCATCGTTAACCTCTAGTGCCACTTGCTCTGAAAGGACTTAATCAGTCACCAAACAATTGTTGTTCAGTTTGTCTTTATAAAATACACGAGTTCAGCTCAGTTGTTCTGAGCAGAATTCCCTCTTGCAAAGTGCCCTGCATCAGCTGGTGGTGGGTGCTGCTGGAACAATGAGACAAGGGCATACAGGTAGCGATGCTTATGTAGAGCATTTTACCATCCTTTTATGAACTGTCTCTTGCAGAAGAGATAGTGGCTTTGTATCAAATGACCAGCAGAGGATTTTCTTCCTTAATTTGCCAGAAATTAATTTGATTTTTTTTTTAATCCTTGTAAATTTTGTCTTATGACAAGAAGTTCCATAAATGAATTATATGATGTGTGGAGAATTACCTAGTTTTTAACCTGTTAGTTTCATATGACACCTCCTCGTTCTTTATTTAGAAGAGTATTTTGTCTTTGCTTTCTTGGTGCCTTCTATAATATTGCAGACCATTATAATCCTCCTCAGTCATCTCTTTGAAATCAGAGCCACACTTTGCTTGGTTGTTATTTGTACAGCTGTCCAAACATTTGATTATTCTTACATTCTCCAGATCTGTTTTATTCTTCTGTATCTTCTTTGATACAGGTAGATAAGGTTGAGGGAGGATCAGAGCTATTCATAACACAGGTGAACCTTCAATTTCTTAAGTGCTGTAGCAATGTTCTATAATAGTTCATGTGTGCTTTTGACTCCACTGAACACAGAGCTGATGTTCTCACGGAGAAGTCTTAAAACATTGGGATCTTATTCCTGACTTGTAATTGTCAACTCAAACCTATCATTTCTTCTATCCATGTAAGTTGGAATTGTTTCATTGTTACTACCTTTGTATACATTGAATGCCAACAATGTTTTATTACACAATGAGTTTGGGCAGTAACGTCGTTCTGCAGCTCTTCAGTAACTGTTCTTTGTATCATCAGTGACACTCTGTCATTTTCCAGATGATTAGTGAATTCTTAAACCATGCAGACTCCAGCCAGCACGAATCTCTTCAGGAATCATCTCATTTCACTGTAAAAACAGTGTTCTTCCCTTGTTTTCCCATATTTATTCAGTTGGTTATTCATCTGAGAATCTTCCTTCTTAACTCATGGCAGCTTAAGTGCTTCTGACGAGGGATTTTTCTTGAATGCCATTTGGAAGGGCAAGAAGAGTATATAAGCCAGACCTTGCCGTGTTCATTAATTTCCTGTTGCTATTGACTTTTTAGCTTAAAGTGAGCACAGACCAAACAGTAGTACTAATTGATTGAGTGCTATGGTCATATCTGTTCTGGTGCTACTTTATTGTTTGTTTCTACGGCACTAATAGTAAATGATGAGACTTCCTGTTCTTGATGGAAATTGAAAAATTGCAATGGAGTTTCTTTGGTTTTATACCTTTTGTAAATTTTTCTTAACTTTTTTTAGATTGCATAATTACTTTTTCATGTTCTGTCTGCAAAAATTTATGATAAACGTTTCTCTTTTGGACAGCCTTTCAGCTTTCTGGAAGATCTTTCCTTTCTTTAAATGTTATTGTACTGATGGTCTTTTGTTCTTTCTGATGCCCTTTTTGATAGGTGGCAGGTATTTATCTGCTCTGTGCTTACAGCATGTGGTGGTTTTTTTGTGTTTTGTTTTGTTTGTTTTGTTTTTTGCAATATTTACTCTTCTACCTCTAGACTGAATTTTGTTCAGTTTCCTTTAGTTTTAAATTAAACATAAGAACATAAATTTAGTTAAACACTCCTCTAGTGGATTTATTGACTTCTTGTTACCCCTGGGAAAATGTTTGTCTTGCATAGCTGCTGTTAGTTCTGGTGATGTTTTCTAGCTTAAGCCCTGCACATTGTCTTGAACCAAGAAAAGGATTGTGTTTTTTGTGGGTTCCTGACTTAGATTCTTTGTGAAGTAGGACTTGACCGTATAGTATCTAAAACAGCCTCAGTGCTGTACATTGATTTTCACTCAGTAGACATAAGATAATTGAAGTCTTCCAATACTACAACTATTTCTTGTCCTTGTATCTTCTCTGATCTCTTTCACCACATTGGTCAGCCTGCTTCCTGTAGTCAGGTAGTATTTGTTTGGGAATAGGCATGAAGAAAGAAGAGTTACTTGTCTATGGAATATTTTTGTAAAGAGAATATGAATTAAACTGTTGTTTTATTCTTTGTCTTATCCTGTGTCAACAGGAATATCCATTATAACCTGGAAATCCATCATGTCACAGGCTCGCATAATACAGACTCTCTAGGGAGCAAGAATGGAATGAATGTCATCTTTTTCTTTTTTTTTTCCCCACTATGAGGATGGTGAGGCACTGGACCAGGTTGCCCAGAGAAGCTGTGGATGCCCCAGTGTTCAAGACCAGGTTGGATGGGGCTTTGAGCAACCTGGTCTAGTGGAAGGTATCCTGGCCCATGGCAGGGGGTTGGAACTAGATGATCTATAAGGTCCCTTTCAACCCAAACTGTTCTATGATTCTATGATTTTTATTTTTTTTTTCTCTATTGTAGTATTTCTTGGGTTGTTGCAAATAGCTGGACTGCTCTCCCAGCTTAATCTTACAAATTTCTTTTAAACAAAACCTTAAAAGGGCCAGTATTTTAACTGGGAAGAGTGTAGGTTAAAGTTGAAACTTCATGCCATCATCCCCAACACTGGAGGTGTTACTTTTCTCATTTGAGAATTTATGATGAGAATTGGAGTGTAAATCATATACAATGACTCACCATTGAGGAGAAATTATAGAATATAAGACTAGTACATATATCCTATATCAGCTTGTGGATTTTGTACCATAGAGATTTTCAGACTGACAACCTTGTAAATAACGCACTTGCCTTTTAACCAAACTTAACTTTCGGAAATTCAAACTCTAATATTAGAAGTAGAAAGTTGAATAGGCCTGCTATCTATCTATACATAACATAATCAAGCTAGTTTTCATGCAGAATGGAGTTTAGACAAGAGGTGCAAATACTTAGTGTTTGATGCTTTCAGGGTTGATTTAAAACATTAGTCTTTCTGTTACAGTGATTGAAATGGGGATTTCTGGCTTTCAAGTGGCATTTTGTGGCTCTCGTAATCAAAGATAATTCAATCAAATTAAAGCAGCACAGGTGGATATATCTCTCTTTTTCCTTTCCAACCATCTCTAAAAATGTGCTATATGCTTTGGATTTTGGAATGCCTCTGTGCTTGCATGGTTTTGTGACAGTTGCTGTCCCTGGTTTAAAAAATGAAAACAGAAAATACTGCTGTATGCATAATTAGTTTTTGTTTCTCATAGCTAAATGCAGAATTGATTTTCAAGATACCTGTAGTAATTTAGTAATGTATGTCCAATAGTTATTTTCATTTTTTCCTTGCCCTTACAATTTACTTATGCATTATTAGTTATTTCCGATGCAGAGTAATAATTCAACTTTTTTCCCTGTTTTTAGATTCACAGAAGTAAAAATAAATGGAAATTTCATCTCAAAGATGGCATCATGAATCTTAATGGAAGAGATTATGTATTTTCCAAAGCCATTGGGGATGCAGAATGGTGAAGTTTTAAAAGACAAAACAAAAAAACTCCCTGTAAAAGGGAAAAAAAATCAAAAGCAGGAAAGGTTGAGACTTGGACATATACTCCAATCAAAATGTGTATCTGCACATCAGAAATAAACAATAAACAAAAGTATTGGAACAAAGGTGAAATGTGGCAACAAAGACACTACTTCAGATGAGCAAGCCATGGACTGTAGCAGCTAAAGTGTTGTCTGGGAGCTGGTTTTGTGTGTTAGGAATACCTTAATTATCAATTCTACATACAGGTACCTACAGCTGGTATTTAGCATGTAAGGCTTTGTTCCCCCCATCCTTTCTTCCCTTGATTCAAGATTTTAAAATACTTCTTCCACTGATTGAAGGAACTCTTCCCTTTGATAGATTATTAATCTGAAAATGCTTATTGTGTGTACAAATCTTTGCTTTGAACACTTCCTTTTGGTAGTGAGGATGGTCTGAATGTTACTTAAACTGCGTGCAAGCTTTGTACAGAAGGGTAAGAATTAAGGTGTTAAATTTTAAATAACTTGTATAAGGAAAATATTTTTAATTCTGATATGCTCATTAATTATTATATCTATTTGTTGTTTTCAGTTCAGTTCCCCATAAACAGGTAGTTGTTCCTAGCAGTTACAAAATGGTAAAATGATCATTTATATTTCAAAATTATTTTAATTTCATGTAAGTGATACCTTTTATTTAGGGCTGTATTTTTTAAATACTAAGCACCTGTAGCTCCCCCTCCGTGCGCCCCCACCCCCGCCCAAAAGTCAAATTGCTTAACTTGTTAATTATATTCTTGCTGTTTGGTGGTGGTGGTTCAGCATCACTGGACTGAAATGAATAATATAGTTTCCATTGATTTTTTTAAAAAGGCTTTGGAGACCTTTTGAATCAAATGTGTAGGTAATGGCATAATAGATGCATTCATTCACCTGCTTACTACATGTGTAGTCCAGACATCCACAAATAATTCAACAGACCACAAGAATGACTAAATTTTTAATATAGGAAATCACATTAAAAATTGTAACATCCTGGCTGCAACTCTGTTAATCAAAGATCTGCTGTCCTAAAAAGTGTAGCTGTAAGTTACCTGCAGCAGTTAATCTCTCTAAAGTTTCCAGGTGGCATGTAATTTCATGAAGATTGCTGCACAGCTTTGAAAACACAAATTTTGTTAGAGTATCTTTAGACTGTCTTGGTAACAGAAGATCAAGCAGTCAGATGCACTAAACCTTGTGTAGTCACTTTTTGACTTGCCTTTTCTAGAGGTGTGGTTTTTTGGTGGTTGTTTGGGTTTGTTTTTTGTTTTGTTTTGTTTTTTGTTGTTGTTTTGGTTTTGTTTTGGGTTTTTTTTGTGAAAAGCAGCAAGGTTGCTCCCCCCCCCCTTCCCTTCCTCTCATGAGAAGTGAACACCTTTTCTTCATGCATAGGTTATTCTTGAAAATCCTGCTTTCAGAAATGCAGTTACTTTTGAATGAGGAGAGGGAGTGGGCATTATACTTCAGAAACTGTTGAGGAAGGAATGTTCTTGTGGCATTTCAAAAAAATTTTGTTTCATTGGGTGCTTGGAAAGATGATGAAAAAAGGACACAGCAAAGGTAAATAACTAAACTGGGGAAAACCTTCAAAAGCAGACATTTGAACCTTGATTTCTGACCTTTTTTTGCTTGAGAGTGGAACTTTTTAAACATCATTTGACAAAGTCACAAATGTATTTTAGCAGTATATAATGACTGCACTAATTTTCATTCTCTCTGATTTACTTGCCTCCAAGTGCATTCATAGTCTCAGTAGTAGGTAGAAAACTCAAAACATTGTAAAGAGGGCTTTTCTTGCTGTGGTTTTGTACACCCGTGCTCTCATGGATACAGACTAAAACTGCCTGTAGGCTATGTCTAGAGCTGTATGGTTGTTAGTAAGCCATCTACATACATAAGCTTTATGAAAAGGTAATTGATGTTTCTTCTAATTAATTCTTAAGTAATGGAATTGTCATTTAGAGTGCATTTTTGGCTTGGGGCTTCAAGATATCTCAAACTGATTAGTGTTTGCTTTATTCTGAACAAAGCAGATATTTTATTTTTATTTTTTTACCACTGTTGACACTTCTGTGTACAACTGCAATGAAACCAATAATGTACCAACTAATTCCTTCCCTCACCTTTTCCATATCTGTTACCAGTAAGTCTTAAGTAGTGGACTTCAGAAAAATTCCCGTAACACTGCACAACCAAACCAATAAAAGAAAGAAAAATCTCTTTAGCTATAGATTCCTGTTTATACTACTGGAACCCAGATTACTTGTACAACACTTTGTTTTCATACATCGTAGTATTTTTGCACCCACATGCATATACTAGAAGCTGCATAGCCTTTTTATTTATTTTTAAGGGATAGCAGAACTTTAAAGATAACGTAAGCGTAGCCTGTTCTGAAGGATGTTAGAAGCTTTCTGAACTTGCACAGTCTCTTGCAAGCTGATTCTGTGGTATGCTCTTCAGATAAGAAGTTTTGTCTTCAAATACAAACACCTGTGAAGTTTTCAGAAAGCCAGTCAAACATAAACATACCAAACTGTGCTCTTATTGCTACATCAAGTGTTCCTTTTTTTAAATTAAAAAGCATGTTTTAATTTCATTTTATTGTAGCAGCTTGCTGTAAGAATGTAGTTTGCTTAATTTTATTACTGTACTTGAATTTTTAATCATGGTTTTAACATTGTAACTGAACAGACCATTTCATTAGGTTCCAAAGAAACCATTCCTTTCAGAGGGCAAGGGATTCCCATGTTCATAGCTCATAAATGATTTTTTTCCCCTCCCTCCCCTTGGAAATAGTTTTTTTTGGTCATTTGTTGTGCGCCCCCCCC